GGGGTGCCGCAGAGCCGTGATCACCTTCACTCTCAGGGTTGCTGTCACTCTGGGCATGATGGCTCTTCTGGGATGAGAGCCCCCCAGAGCTGCCTCTGGACTGAGCTGTGCTCGCTCCGAGAGCCTTTGTGTGTTCGCTGGTTTTGAGGTGTTTGTTTACTGGGCAGGATTTACTACACTGTTTTCCTGAAGGGGGAATGGTAATAGAGTAAAATCAAAGGAACATTTTACTTAGTTTTTTCCCCCCACTAAAACCTTAGCGTATAAGTAGAGATTTTAAAATTCATCCTTAGAAACAAGTAGTGTCAAGATATTTCGAAGGCTGGATTTGATTCTGAAATTATATTATGTTTTTTTTATTACTTTTTTTTTTTACATATCACTGTTTACAGAAATGAGCTTCAGGGAACCACAGAATCTCAATTCTAGCCAAAGTAGAGAGGCGACTTCCGATGGCCCACTGAGTCTCCAAGCAATCATGACACACCCCCTGCCCACCATGAGACTGTTGAAGGGGGGCCGTGGCCAAGTGTCTCCCGCCTGTAACATTTGTACGCTTAGAGTTTTTACAAAATCTGCTGCTGACTGCTATTAGTCGGTTTGAAAAACATTATATATGACAAATGTTTACAGTTCATCCTTAAAATTGGGCGTTAAAAAGGAATCTGTAAAGGTGAAAAATACCCAACTATTTTTGTGTTGCACGTACAATTATCTGCTTAGATTTCTTTTGGCATTTTACGTAGATCTTGAGATTGAACATACTTTGTAATCCTATTGATCAAAATAGATGTTGGGGTGCCTGGGTGGCTCCATCAATTAAGTGTCCGACTTCAGCCCAGGTCATTCATGGTCCGTGAGTTCAAGCCCCGCGTCGGGCTCTGTGCTGACAGCTCAGAGTCTGGAGCCTGTTTCAGATTCTATGTCTCCCTCTCTCTTACCGTCCCCTGTTCATGCTCTGTCTCTCTCTGTCTCAAAAATAAATAAACATTAAAAAAAAATAATAAAAAAAAAAGATGCAAATGACGTATTGTGGAATCTAACCATCCCTGAAAAGCATGTTCTGATTGCTCATGTAAGTATATTAAATTGTAAAAACAAAAGAGAGAGGGCACCCCGCTGGCTCGGTCGGTAGAGTGGGCAACTCCTGACTTCAGGGTTGTGAGTTCGAGCCTCACGTTGGCGAGATTGCTTAAAAATAAAACCTTTAAGAAAAAAAAAGAAAAATAAAGAAGAGAATATAGTTTATTATAAAAGCCTGTGCTTTGTAGGCAGTAGACAAATCTTTACATTATAACACTCCTGCCACAGTGCTAGCTGTATGTCTTTAGATAAATAATTCCTTGTCCTTGGTTTTCTTACTCCAGAGTGGAGATAATTCTTAACCCGGAAGGTTGTTAAAAGACTTGAAGTAATGTGTGTAAAATTCTAACATGAATGCTCGCTCGGGGTAAATAATCAATGATGGGCATCCCTTTATGGAGTGCGAGAGCAGGCTGTAACCAGTTGCTTAATTTGTCTCCCTTACTCTGGGGGAAATGTGGCCTTTACACAGAGCTCACCCAGCAGCGTGTTTCTGTCGCTGCTGGCAGGATGGGGTGGCCCTCGCCCCTGCCGGTCAGTGAAAGATAGTGTCAGTACCGCTGTCCACAGTGGTGTAGATCTCAGTCCATATAAGAAATTGTACCAGCCCCATTTGGACCGTGTTACAGAGTATCTACCGCCAGGCTCTGGGACTTCAGAAGTATCGACACAGCTCCCCGAAGCCACGTTCCGCTAAACCCCTTTCCGGAGTGTTTTCTAGAGGTCCTCTGTCCCTTGGCATAGGTCGGCCTCGCGGGAAGCCTGAAAGATGGTGGCGGCTCCCGAAAGCCCAGCAGCAAAGTGGCACCAGGTGCAGACCTGGGCCGAGCTGCCTGCACCTCCGAGCTCTCGGCATCGCACCCACCCTGCCCGGGGCAACCGCCCCTGCCCCGCCGCACCTGCTCGCACCTGCTCCCGCTCAGGATGCAGGTGGGGAAGGGTGAAGTTACTTTCTCAGACCCGCGCACCCTGATTAAGCCTGTCCAGTGAAGATCACCTGGTTCTGGCTTTTGGCAGAATCACTTCCATTGGCTTGTATTTGGGGCCTGTGTCCCGAGGCCTGTACCGAACTAAGGCTGTGTATCATTGTGGGTGAGGCCAGGGTCATATCCCTGCTGACAGCACTCCTGACCTCCTGAGGACCTGTGTGGAAATTTCTCTAAGATACCAGGCTTAATTGACCAACTTTACAATTTTTTTTTTATTTTAATCTTGGTGGCGCACCATAACCAAAAAGACTTGTACCCTTTTCAGCCGCTTACTGCTTTTAACGATAATGTAGATCCTGGATTCTGACTCTCCTGCCTCGTTCACCTTTTTGAGAGACTCTTTGTAATGTTAATTGCTCTGACATCTTCTTTGTCCATTTATGGTTTTCACCTTTCCTGGTAACAGTTGCTGTTCCCTTGGTATTCTCACGTGCTTAATTCCCTCCCTCCTAGTACAAGTCTCCTAGTATTTTAGAGCATCCTGTCCTTTAGAATATGTGGGATGACTTTATTTGCTCCTGAACACTCAGTTTCCCGTCACCTCCACGTGTGATATATTAACATAAAGGAACTTTCTCTCTTTCTCCCATTGTAAATTTTGGGGGAATTACTGGTCGGTCTATTTCATCATCTGTTTTTAATCTCATTGATTTTTTTTTTTTTAGTCCTGCATTAAAATATCTCTAATACTCTTGCTCCTCTTCCAAAACTTCCTGTAGCAATACTAGCATATTTAAAAATTTTTTTCTCCTCGCCCCCATCACCCCTTTGTTTTAACAGAGCCTGATTTGAAAAAGCGGATCCGCGTGCACCTGCTCAACGCACATGGCCTGGATGAAGCTGGCATCGACGGTGGTGGGATTTTCAGAGAGTTCCTCAATGAACTGCTGAAGTCGGGATTTAACCCCAATCAGGGGTTCTTTAAGACTACTAACGAGGGCCTTCTGTACCCCAGCCCAGCTGCTCACATGCTGGTGGGAGACTCCTTCGCCAGACATTACTACTTCCTGGGCAGGATGCTTGGAAAGGTACAGTGTTCTGGGACCACGGGGTGCTGGGGTGGTGTTTCCGTGTGGTTGCCGTCTATTTCATTGAAGATCTTTATTCAAAATTGCTGAAGTAATTTTGGTGATCCCTGCATCGTATTCCTTTGTATAATAACTAACATTTCATCGTTATGCGTTACATGCACAGTAGTCACAAGCATAAAGTATCTGCACAGTATGGAGAACCTGGGGGCACATACGATAAAATCCTGTTGGTCGAAATCTTTTCAGTGGCTGTTGGCCGTCTGGCTGTGTGCTAGAAATACCAGAAAGCTCTCTGTTGCTCTCATTGGTAGTGTCACAAGTGGTTCTTTAGTTACAAGTGGTCTTTAAAGGTTCCGTAAACTTTTTAGAGTGCTGCGAGGCAGACGACCGTTGTTACCGGGTATGGGGTGAGTGGTACATGTGTCGTGTGCAAACTCCAGGAAAATTGGCCGTGTAAGGATGACGTGAGGGTAATGCTGTCATGAGCAGCACGTCACACACCCGCCGACCGTGCACACAAACACAATTTGCCCTTTACTGTAAGTGACAGGAAAACTTCATCTGTAGCCTGGTGGACACTTCCTGTTTATTGGTGAAACTTTGACAGGACCTGCCCCCCCCACCCCCACTGGTAAAGTCAGAAGCAAAGCCAGGACACCCCTGATACCAGTGCTGTTCGTCAAGGAACCAGGTCAGTCCCTGCCTGTCGTCCCTGCGGATGGCTAGAACAGAGCACCACAGACGTGCAGCTTCTGAGGGACCCACCCACATGTGTTTCTCACGGTTCGGGAGGCTGGAAGGTCGCCATCAACAAGCCGCGGGGGTCTCCTTGGGTGGGGGCCCTCGTCCCAGTCCACGTCCATGCCTTCTCACCGTGTCCTCACATGATGGAAGGGGTGAGGGGCTCTCCAGGATCCCTTTGAGAAGGACACCAATCACATCCCTGAGGGCTCTGCCTCATGACCCCATCACTGTCCAGAGCCAGCCTCCTAATGCCACCGCCCTGGGGACGCAAACATCCAGTGTACCAAAGGTGGGGACAGCAGGCCAGGAGACTTCATTTAAATCCAGGGTGGCTAACTGCTTCCCCGCGGGACAGATGAAGTCCAAAAAAGAGATTTGGATTTTCTTTCTTTTTAACTGAATACTGACTTTTTAAAAAATTTTTATTTTAATGTTTATTTATTTTTGAGAGAGACACAGAGAGAGAGAGACAGTGTGCAGGGGAGGGGCAGAGAGAGAGGGAAACAGAGAATCTGAAACAGGCTCCAGGCTGAGCTGTCAGCACAGAGCCCGATGCAGGGCTTGAACCCACAGACTGTGAGATCGTGACCTGAGCCAAAGTCAGATTTATTAACCAAGTGAGCCACCCGGGCGCCCCACGTTGTCCATTTCTTAAATTGAGTTGTTTGTCTTCTATTATTAAGTCCTTTATATATTCTAGTTCAAGTCCTTATCTGACATGTGATTTGCAAGTATTTTCTCCCGTTCTGTGGGTTGTCTTTCACTTTCTTGATGGCTTCTAATGCATTTATTTTTCTTTTGTTGCCTGAGCTTTTGCAGTCTTGTGTAAGAAACTTGTGGTCACGTGGTTTAATCCAGGGTCGTAGAGATTTATACCTGTGTGTGTTCTAAGAATTGAGTCATTTTAGTTCTTCCATTTAAGTCTCTGCTCCGTTAGGAGTTAATTTCTGTAGGTGGTGTGAGTTAGGGGTCCCAGCAGGTTCTGTCGCATGTGGACACCCCTTTGTCCTCACACCGTTTGTTAAAAAGACTTACGTGGTTCCCTTGCCCAGAGTCAGTTGACTGTGAATGTGAGGGTTTATTTCTCGACTCTCGGTTTCACTCATCTCTGTGTCTGTGCCAGCGTGGCACCGCTTTGATTACTGTGCCTTTGTCGTCAGTCTTGTGCTGTGTGTACTTACCAATGACAAATGGTAACGAAGCCCCAGGACCCAACGTAGCAGAGGGGCAGCGGAAGGAACCGGTGTGTCGTGGATCTCTCTTTGACATGCATAGTAGGAGGTCCGGTCATTACCGTTTGCTCCGATTCCACGTGCGCAGTTGTAATCATACAGATTCCTTGGAAGAGGCTTACTGATGGGCTCAGCTCGACCTCACCGTTACACCAGTATGTTTCTTTAGGCTGTCCTTATCGTTTCAGAGACCAGCTTCAGACATCGGCCTGACGTTAGATTCCTTAGCATACGTGTCAAACAGATCGTTTTCTCATTTTATTTTGAGGCACCCTGCCTCGCCCTGCGGCGCCACGTGCTGGCTTTGGTGTCGGCTGTCCACCAGACCAGACCCCCCCCTCTCTCTGGCTCCCTCTGGAGCACACGGCTTTCCTAACTCGTTTCATGAAAATCTTTGAGATGATGCATAGTCCTTTTTATTAAGGTGAGCCCAAGAATCTCCTAAATTAATAATAGTAAAATTAAAATCTAAAATAATAATGAAGGGGAGCTTTATGTTGCTAGACTAACCTGAAATACCTCCTAATTTAAAAAAAAAATTATTTTTAAATAATCTCCACACCCAGTGTGGCGCTTGAGCTCACGACCCCAAGATCGAGAGTCACGTGCTCTACCAACCAAGCCAGCAGGGTGCCCCTGAAATATCCCCTAAGTTTGGTGGTTTTCACATGGTGCGGTGTCAGACGACAGAGTAATCTTATTTGCATGATGAGATCTTACTAACGTTTTGTATTTTTTCTTCCTGAGTGTATAAATTGTCCCATCTTCATTAATACAGAGACAGGAAAATTGGACCATCCTGGTTCACTAAAGTCTTCCGGTCAATGGTTCTGTAAGTTTGAGGGGATAGACTCCTTTCCCCTGAGTTATCCCCTGGCACGCTATTCTTGACGGCACTCATGAAGACGCAGGTGCAGGGCGGATGACTGATCGCTGTCCCTCCTTTGCTCTGGAATGTGCATCACTTCACACCAGACTCTGGAGACTTTGTCCCAGAAATGAAGTTTATGTCAAGTGTAGTTCAATAATCTTTAAAGTGGTGAAGGTTAGATAAAATCAGTAAGAAAACTAGTTGTTTGATGATGGTAGATAATTTCGTTTCACATAGTTAAGTTTTTACTGATATAATTTTCTGCATTTTCCAGAAATTCCTAAGGGAGTACTAGTTTCTAAAAGATCTGATTATTTTCTGATTACAAATGGTTAAACTTGGTGCCAACATGTTAAAAATTGTCGAGATCTAAGTGAGTGTAATAGTATAGGGCTAATAGTATGGTATCTGAACATTAAATCCTTAGCAGAAGAAAATTGTATATTGATTGATTATGATATTTATTGGGTCATAATGTATTTAAATTTTCTTTAATGCATATGTTAGTGATTGTTTACTGTGATGAAGTGCAAAGAGGTCTTCAAGAGCAATCCTGCATAGAAAGAATTACCTCATGTCAGTGGTCACTTCTCAATTAAAAGTTCCATTAGCAGATGGTTCCTGCTTCTGGTGTGGGTCGTGATTGCATTTTATCGCCTGTAAATCAGGCTGTCGACAGGGAATAAATAAACAGCTCAAGGATGTGGTAATGTCATCTTGAACTTTTTTTTACAGATAGAAGCACCTAGGTCCATTTAAACCAATTAAGTTCAGAAATTTATTGAAGGAAATCTTTTATCATATTTGAATTCTATTTGAAAATGGCTTTTTTCCCCTTGCTTCAGAATATTGATTTAATTGGAACAGGATGCCTGTAAATCAGATTATTTGATAATATCTCGGTCATATATTTCAGATTTCTAATTAGCAGACACCCTTCCACACGTGGTTTACCATTTTGTATTTTAGTAGAATACAGTGTGCGTTTAATGCGTCCTAGAATGTAAATGTTAATGGTTTACCCTGAGATTTTTGAGAGTTGGGAAAATTTATTCTTTTATACCATTGGAGTCCCTTCGTAAAATGCTCACCAAATCTGCTGAGCCTTTAAAAGTGAAGACTGAAGTGAGTATAGTGATTTAGTTACCTTGGTCTTTAAATGGCAAAGCCTCTCTTTTCTCATATCTTGTTCTGAACTCTCAGGCTCATTAGGGGTCAGAGTGACGGAGCTCCCTCATCTGATTGTCACCGAACTAAGTGCTCTTGTGTCTCAAGTTAATAGATCTTTTCGCCTAGATTTTTTAAACATAACATTCAGCCAATAGTTGATCATCCTGTGCTTAATCCAAGCCTTCCAATCAGTGTAAAGACTTTTTTACTTTGGTGTCAGCAAATTTCACAAGCAAGCTTTCTCTGAGTCTCCCGATTATCCACAGTGGGCGGTTCATTATGAGTTTGCTTGTTGACCTTCAACTTTTTTTGGAAGCAGAACAATGAACGATCATAGTAATTTACAGATGATTATTTTGTTTTACTCTTACCCCCTCTGAGAACTGTTCCCTTAAATCCGTACAGCATTCTAATAACACAGAATTTACATTCTTTTCCTTTAAGAACAAAGTGTTCACCAATCTGCAAATTATTCTTCTTGTCAGTTAAGGTCATAGTTTTCTACCTAAGTTTATTTCTTCAGAATTAAACATGATATAAAAACAAGGTAGATTGTATGGTGAAAGTGACAAGGGTGTTCCAGAATGCAGCTGATTCCACCACCTAAAAGTATTATTTTAGTTTTAGCCACTTGGAGATATTCACCAAAATTCTTTCTGCTCCTGAATAGAGTAGATCTTCCCTGCTGTTGGGATTCCCCTTCTCCTAATTTTTACGCACTCCCAAATATGAGTCAAACGCAGATCAGTACCATGTCGAGACCGTCTTCGTTTCTCTAAGCCATGTTAAGTGGTCACTATGAAAATTAGAAACACAGACTTGCTCGTCCTGCTTTAACGTCCACTGCTTTAATCTTCATTTGTGCAGTAAAGACAGTAAATATTAAAAAACAAAATGTAGCCCATTTAAATTCTTTAGAACATTTAAGTACTAGCTTGAAATTAGTAAATTTAATTTAATGAAAGCAGACCAAGGAAACA